GACGTAAAATGCGTTCATTTAAGGTTGTCCCTTGAAGGAGGCATGCCACAAAAGCAATCATACTAACACCATCAACGAGAGGGCTAATTTGCCCAAAATGACCCTCTCAGTCCCAGTTTTCCTCGTTGGTAGCCCTTCTCTGTAAGTGAGACAACTGTCTATGCCCCCCCCCTCTTCCTCCAGGTATAATTATTTGGGCATATCACAGCTCAAACCATACTCCATGCTACCTCCTACGGTGGCTGAAGCACCAATTTGTGGCATGGATTTTCTTATCTTTATGATGCACTGGCTCAACGCATCGGTTATACTCCATTCAGTGAGGTTTGCTGTTTGCGTTTAAACCAGTCGCTCTGAGTCTCAGCTCAGCGCCTGTTGTGGTTGATCAAAGTTCAGTCCAAACGGCGAACGGGCCGGGGGGAGAGGAGGGCGAGGCAGCAGGGCTTTTTTCGTGTCCTTCGCTGACCATTCACACAAGCATGTGCACCACCAGTCAGCTCCAGGGCGGCCCTAATGATATTCATGTTTTTGAGTGCAAACGCAAACAGAGGAGGAGGAGGAGGAGGAGGAGGAGGAGGAGGAGGAGGAGGAGGAGGAGGAGAAGTGATGGTGCTGAAGTGACAGCAGGTGGCAATTTGTTGACAAGGCCGCATCAAACGATTCAAAATCCAATCCGCCGCCACCGCCGCCACAAGAGAGAGCGCGCGGTGCCAAACAGGCGCGCATGTCCGTCGGTGACGGCGACCAGAGCGCGTACGAGCGTCATAATAGCTGCGCAGCGCAAACTGAACACTGCTCTTACGGTAACAAGTCCACGCTGGTGCATCCTTCAGGGAAGGGCGAAAGACGAAGTGCTTGAATGCACAGACTTCATTTTTATCCGAGCTTAGAGAGCAATCCCCCTGCTGCAGATACTAGAGTACCGACAAAGACAGGCGAGACTGCAATTGTCATTTTTGACTTATCAGCCGTCTTCAACCAGTCATACGCAATGGCAAGTGGGAACCACCTGGGATTTGAGCCGGGGATAGTTGGTCGCTTAGTAAAATGCCCCACCAATAAGCCAAGGGCTCGTTGTCCTTTCGGTTGTGATTGGTTGTCGGTACTCTATTGTCTGCATATGTTACTAGTCACTGTACGACTGCCTGGGGGGGGGGCTCTAGATTGGCCCCAGAGCAAAAGGGGGCGAGTATGTCCCGTAAGTTGATCAATGAGCGCCGTTTCATCATAAATCCTATTGACTTGGTACTTGACACGGGTCGTAGGCACCAGTACCACCTCGGGGCGGGTGCAGGTCGGTCGGGGTGCCCAAGCGTAGCGCCTGTGGTCTTGAACACGAAGAGTGTGGCTGAGGCTGAATCAGTCTGTCCTAACAATCAATGAATTCAAGTCCGGATGATTGTGGCCATCATCTGTGATGATGAAAAAATTGTCCTGTACTTGCACCTGTGCATGCATACATTAGGCGGTGTACCTCACCGAAAACTAGTCGGAATTCTGAAATATGATTTCGGTTAGAAATGATCACTTGAATGAGGTTTTTACCACGATTATCATGCAGCTTAGTTCCAAGACATTTCACTCATACCAGGACGAAGGCTGTCCGATGTGCATCCTTCCGGCCACCTGTGAGAATCACATTCGTTGAAAAATAACTGCTCAGGTGGTACACATTTTTCGACGTCTTTATTAAGCTGGACTTACTTATAGAACGAAGGTGCACAGATATCCTTTACTGAACCTATTCTGTGGCAACCTAGTCCTCTTCGAATTATATCCGCGAAAATGGGTATCTTTAGGTTTTAGGTACGCTTGCAACTGTGAGCTTTCTAGGTCCACAGGACGTCTATTCAAATAAAGCAGCAGATGCCTGATTATCTGCGTTTCCGATGAAATACACAACGTGCGAAACAGTGTGAACACTATATCGTATCCTCCTATTGGGATATAGGAATGTACAATGGTAGAGAGGTGCTCACCAATCGTGTTACAGAACTCGTTCGTCCTGTTGTGCCTTGGGGCCCTCTCCCTCGAGCCCAACCAACAGCTGCACAGCGGCGTGTAATATATGAAGAATGGCATTCCCGACAAAGACAAGAGAGACTGGAACGACTATTTCTGGCTCGTTAGTCGTCGTCAGCCAGTCATGCTCAACCTCAGTCTCCCTTGTCTTTGTCGGTAATAAAATTCTGTCTATATTACGCGCCGCCGTGCGGCTGCTGGTTGGGCTCGAGAGAGAGCCCGTAAGGCACAAGGGAAAGGTTGAGTTCCGTAAGAACGATCGGTGAGTGCCCCTCTACCATTGTATATTCCCGGTCGCAACCGACAGGACAACGAGCCCCAGGCTCAATGGTTAGAGGCGTTGGACTTCTAACCAACTGGTCGCGTGATGGAGTCCCAGGTGTTCCGCACTTCGGGGCTGGGCATGAATGGCTGACGACGGCCAATAAGCCAAAAATGACCATTCCAGTCTCCCTTGTCGTTGCTGGGAATGCATAATTTTTGTTAACCAGTTTCTTCAGATATTGCGCAGAGGTCGTACTCGAAATTGCAAAAAAGTTGACGTTGCCCCTGCCCTGAAAGTACAGCGAGGCGGTTTTCATTCTAAGTCTTTTCTCTCCCCTTGCAACAGAACCGAACGTGCCAGAGTCACAAGCCTGCCTGCACACTCAGGCAGGTGTCTAAACAGTTCTCATCCACCTCTGTTCTTTAAAATGTGACTATGTACTCCCTTAAAAATACGCAAAAATATGATCCGGTTGAATTCCTTCCAGCTTTAGGAATTTACAGACAGGTCAGTTATCGATTTATGCCCTATTTTGTAAAAGCACCAATTGGCTTTCCTTATGCACGTTGCAATTTCTGCTGACTTCTGGCAATTTGCATTCCAGAATCAGATTGTGGAAAAAAAGAGCATAAGACGTGAAAGTTCGAGTCAAATGAGTTAGTGTAATTGCTACAAGTAAGCAATTTATGACCACGCAAACAAATGAAAGTTAGTGACCGATCTTATGAAATGTTAACCGAAATTCCTTAATGCATATCCGATTAGGAAGGATTACTTAAGCGAGGTTATAATATGGATTATCTTGCGGCATAATCTCGTAGCACTCCGGTCATTCGTAAACACCGCTATGTAAAAAATGGCTATTTAAATGGTATGCGTTTCGGCTATCAGTCTTCGATGCCCTCATTTTGCAAAAAATAATCATGCATATTCTTTTAAGAGTTGCGAAAATTCCCACTGACGAATTCAAAAGACAATTTGCGTATAATTGCCCGTCCCAGTGCCCACCATCCCCTTCACCCCCTGACACTGACGGTAATTTTGATTTTCACCTCACCCATCCAGACCCTCCCCACAAACCCCAGTTACAGAATAACTTCTGTTTGTCCGCATTTTCCTTTTAATCATTTCGACAGCAATACAAATGTATAGGCCTGATGAGAATTTATCGAGAGCTTGCGTATGCTTTCCAAATTGTCTTCTATATTCTTTTTAAGCTCATTTGGTAGCCAATCACATTTCCTTCAAATTCTGCCCTCAAAGGAGGAGTACGGTTGGATTTCAACAACAAATTCAGTTCCTAAATGCATTTGAGCCCGATCTGCCATTACATTTGCGTCTAGGGTTTTCGGTCTATGAGCTGTATACTTTCTTTGTAAGGAAAAATCATACATTCGTCTATGCCTTCAAGAAGATACCATATAAGGCGCATAAAATTTCGCTCTTTTGTGGGAAAATTGGAAATTTTGAAGGCGCGAAAGCTTGTGTCAAATTAATATTCGTAATTTGTAGAGTAGCGTGTTTCCTGACCAGGCAAACATATCAGTATATCTGACCGAATGCGCGCGAACAGTTTCGGCTAATCCTCCATGTGACTGTATTCCAGGAAGTTGTGTGCAGTGAAACAGTAAGTAACCTGATGACGCGCAAATATTTTTCAAGATGACCAGTAGGACTGTTTGTATCGAAATTTCCCCTTTTGCATTGTCCACCATGCGGTTGGCTTGGGGTGAAAACCATTTGTTTAATTTCCTGTTTGGGAGGTCACAGAAGTAAAGTATTTTGCAAAGTCACATGTCGAGATGTTGGTTGTTGCTGATAAGAAGGAAACAGTAATACAATCGGCAGACACCACCAGAAGCCTATCAGTTTCTGAACTTGAGAAAAATTTGTTGTCTGCAAGCTTGCGGTCTTCTTTCTGGCCAGGATATCTGCCGCTGGAACTGGAAGCGACCTTGAAATGTCAGCGAACTCGTTGCTATTTTCACCGCGAGCAAAAAAGGAGTTCAGTATTCTGTAGTCAAGAAATCTACCTACGACAGCTTTATTAGCTATGCACTTTACCATTGGTAATGGTTTTGCACGCAGCAAACGATTAGCTTGCAAGTAGCTGGGAATAGCAGGCATTTTCTTGCTCGCCAGGGTGCTCGCCAGGGTGTTCCAATTTTGTTTATTAGCCCTTGGAATCACTTGTAGTTTTGAAACTGTAAAGGTAAGTGCAAAGGCGCGTAAGGTCCAAAATTATCCGGGAATTGAAGTATTTTTTTGAAATTGCGTGCTAAAATTTATTCCGGTAAGAATTTGATGAATGTGACGTGATTGGCTACTGGGGAGAAAAAAAACAGGAGTGATTGGTTCCAGGACAATTTTCTCGTGTCGTACTCCATCGTTCCTGATTTTGGACTTGATTCCGATATCCTATTTCGAAATCTGAGCGCTTAAGCACCTGCGCGAAATGCCCTCTCGCTGGTTTGTCTGTCCACTGTATACAGAGCTCAAGTAGTCGGATTATCCTACACCAGAAAATAAGCAAGTGGATGTCCACGTGAAAGAATTTTGGAGAGGTCGCTGGTGAAGACCCGAAATGGAGGAGGCCTTCTGTTCAAAAATTTATACTTTTCCTAGTCTGCCTTGTCCTTCGATTTTTTGAATGAGCATAGAGTCGTTTTTTTAATGCTCCTGCACGTCCCTTGCCGTTGCTGTCCCTTCCATCATGACCAGTTTCATGTATTCACCAAATATCACAACCGCTATCTCCTCCTCCTCCTCATTTGATCCCGTCCCTCCGTCTTCCGTTCTCCGAATGCCTTCCCTTGACAGTTCGACCGTCGCAAACGACGATGACCGCGGGTATGCCTCGCAGCATGGCAGGTGCAGAGACGGTGACTTGCGCGTTAATTAGTTTATAGTGATAGTGGAGTTGGGCAGCATCTACCGCACTCTCGCCCCCCCTCCCTCACCCTCCTAGGTCGTGACAGTTTAGAATCGCGTCAGATCGTCAATAATGAGGAATCTGCGCCGAGAGCCGATGCATTCTCTCTCTCTCTCCTGTGCGCCATTCCGCTGCCCGAGCCGGTCAGTAATCCGCGAGGACTGGGTGTAAGTGGCTAACGGAGCTAAACAGCTGGTCTGCGCGTGCCTCACGCGACCTGGTTCTCCGGCACAGCACGCTGGTCTTCTTCACGAAGTGCGTGGGCATCTCGGGGATGAGAGCCCCTCTAGGGGAGGGGGGGGCATCGAACCTGAATCACAGTCCTTCAATCAACCACTCCACATAAAATACACAGGGCTGGACACGGGGGCTGAGTTGTACAGTCAGTTGACAACCCTCCAAGTCCCTTCCTTACTGTCTTTATCTCATACGTATCATCACTTTTTTTGCTACTCATGTTCTTTTTCTGGCAAGACTGCTCCAGACGTTTATTTGACCGGGCAGGGTGGGTTTACGCACAAGACGATCCTATTCCCAATGGGTTGTTCCGGCTGACAGCATCGGTGTCATTGAATACTCAGCTCGTGATCAGCGAAAACTAATGTTCACGTTCTTCTCTGGACAAATTCCAAAATCTCCTCTCACTCAGTTTGGTCCTCAAATGCACCACCCTGTTTTGCTGTATTGGGGAGGGGACAATCCTTCCTATGCCACGGTAGTCTGTTTAAACTGTCACGTACTACATTGGCTTCACATGATGCCCAACTCTCATCCATGGCTTCAGGAAGTTCCGCTTGGGTTGTTCCTTTGACTGGTGGGCGAATCCTGTTCCCCAAAACGGCCTACACGGGAAGTATGTTAGACCAGTGTGGGGGGCCAGATCAGCTTCCGATACGCGTTATTAGGCTGTGCACTAACAACAGATGCCACACGTGAGGGGGGTGGTGTGGCGACGCGCCCATGCGCAGGCTCACACCGCGCCAGCCACCTACACCCGACCACACCTCCGTTTTCTTGACTCTGTCTGGGCACCTGAACCATCTGGGTGGGGAGGAGAGAGTGCGGTAGATGCTGCGTAAGTCGGTCATCACTATAAACTACTTCCCGCCCAGGTCACCGTCCCTACGCTTATCCTGATCTAGGGCACAGTGTGGATATCATCGGCAACGAGGGTCGAACTCTCTCGGTGGACAAAGGAAGGTTTCTGAAAATTCTGGCTTGGTGAAAAGAACCAAGCCATGTGCAACAGGTGTAGATCAGACTGCTGCCTGTTCAAAGACCGCGCCGCAGTTAGTCTTCAATCGTCCTGACCCGAACTGCCACCAAACCAATGGGAGCGATGGGGGGGGGGGACAGGAGAGGGAAAGCGACAAGCTTCCGCACGTGCAAGTCATCCTACTACCGTCTGTCACCTTCTATTTGGTGATGGTTGTGGACGATGGACTAACCAGCACCTGGAAGCAAGAACCTAAGGCTTGCCTACATAGATTCGAATCCCCTCCGCAGAACAAAAGTCGACTTAAGTGCATACTGCTCCTGTCGCATCCTCAGAGAGGCCAGACATGCATGCTCGTTGTTGGTCGGCCGGCCGGCCAGTCGGAGTGTTAACAAGCCCAATGACCCAATGTTCTCCGCAGTAATGGCTGCCCTCTTTAACGCAGGTCAGGCTTACATAGCTGCAAGGCCCTGCTCGCTATTCGGCGGAATTTCGACGAGATTTTTGAACTCCTACGGCCTCGATCCCACCGTGGGCTTTCCTAAGGGTCCTTTTCTGGCTCACCTGGTGACAAGATACGTCTCAATAATGTGTTCTGTTCTTGTTGCGCTGTGTGCAGTGATCAGTTTGCAGGGCAGTCGAATACCCCCACAGTCAGTCTCCTCCTCTTCCTCATCCTCATCCTCATCCTCCTCCTCCTCCTCGTCCTTCGATCGCGGACGGCCTGGACAAGCTGGGGCAGGCGGGCAGTCTGCCCACCAGTTATTTCGGTCGCAGGCATGGAGGGGAGGGGGGAAGCTGCCCTGGACTACTTCTGCCGCTAGTGAGCTCGCCTACAACTAGTTTTCGCGTGTCTGTCTTTTGGAGGGCGGGCTTTATTGTCTAATTAAAGACCTCAGATGCTAATCAGCCCCACGCATGTAGCTGGCCTGCAGATGTTACACAGCAACCGTTTGTGCCGTGCCTAGAAGGACGCGAAGAGTCCATAGTCATTGCTGGGTCGTCCGCAGGGGACTTAATTTATGCTCTTTCCCTCTCTCCTTCTCTCCCACCTATACTCTCCAAGCGGAAGTCAAACAAATATTCGAGACAACGAGAATGCAGAGCTTCCCCACACTCAGTAAAGCTAGTCAACAGCCTACACTAGCGTTCCGCTGAGCGGTCTCTTACCAACCACTTATATTTGCACAGGCGAGCTGCATTAAGGCGTGTTCGTTTGGTTTGAGGAAGCTGTAGGGCGCAGCAAAGTGTGAGCGCTTGTTTGCTGATCCTGGTGGCTTCGAGGCCGACGTCTGTGGTCAGAAGTGGATGTTCCGACCTGACTGTCACGGATCAGGAGGTGGCGGTTTCTGAGGAGGATACAGTGATTTGACCGGCTTCCATATTGCCTACACCTGCTATTACCATGACAGTTCCCTAGTTTTACAGAATTTTTTAAAGTTTCAGTATACGTAGGCTCAGGGGTCTCAGGCAGACCTAATAATTATTGTCTGTAAGGGCAAAGTAGACTAGAATGACGGAGTCACTGTGTCATTTGTCCCTCAGCAACTGCACACTAGAGTGTCATGCTTCAGTAGGCTAGTGGCTTGTTTCAGTGCTTCACTGAATTTGGCCGTCACTTAATTAATCGTTCAAACACTGTGCGGCAGCCGAGATCGGGCCAACCAAATGGGTCGGACAGGAGAATATGATCCACTGTCGTGCTATAGGTGACCCTTAGATAGATTCCAGGGGTACCTATTTCTGTGTCTCAATTCTAACTCGAGCCTCAACACTAGCCCCATTGCCCTGACAATTTGACCGTCGTAACCACGATGTCACCGTGTGCCCCAGAACAAAGTGAGAGCGGAGGCAGTGACCTGGGCGTGAATTAGTTCATAGTGATAATGGACCTGTGCTGTATCTACCGCACTCTCTCCTCCTCTCCCACCTGGGCCCGGTGTCACGATCAAATCGAGATGAGAGGCGGGAGGGGAGCACAGGTGGCTGGCACGGTAGCAACCCTGCACTCAGACATGTCACCACACTCTTTGGGTCACGACGTACACCAACCAGGATTTCATACCACAGCACAAGTAGGGGGTCGGCACGAATCCAAATTGGCGCGGCACGAGTCTGCACATAGGCGTGCCACCATGCATAGTGTTGGAATTCGCTATGGGCGCGCATTCCCGGTAACGTCCGCCCAACTCGCATCTAGCTCCCGCGTTAGTTCAGAGCATCTATCGCCTGACCCCTTTTAGGAGCACGCGATAAATACCCCTTACTCCCCTGAAATTTAACGGAGGGCCACCTATAATACAGAGAATCTCCCTATTCTCGTGTCTTATCACTAAAAATGACCAACGGCCGCTATATTGTTATTGTCATCATCATCATCATCACCACCATCATCATCATCATCACCTTTTGTGCGCCCGTATCTTCCCTCACCCCCTTCTCCATTCCCGTTTAATTACCGCCAAAACTACTGTCTTTGTGATCCTTAAGCGAGAGTCCCTTAAAGTGCCTGTCCTTCCAGTGAAATTCGGGTCTTCCCGGTGTCCTGCATGTTCGAACAGCAAATCCGGCCGCGCATACCTCAAGCATCCCTCTGCTAGTTCTTAAAGGAGAGAGAAACTTGTCTCAATATTTCTAGCAAAAAACGACCTCCATTCATCGTGAGAGAGTATGCAGATAGTTTCTGTATTTCAGTCTCTTTGCACGTTAGGCCTCGTGCCAGAGAATAGGGAACGTTAGTATGCCAATTTATGCCAAGAGTTATGCCGGAAGCCACGGTGCATTGGACGGAAAGACTTTCCATCCGCTAATTCAGGGAGATGGAGATGGACACCATCACCTAGAAATCGATCAGAAAATTGCATGACCATCACGGCACGTCCTTATGTCATGATATTAACTAAAATGACATTTGGTGGACGCATTCTTTAATGAGCATATACTTTTTAAGCAAGACAGGGAGAATCAATGAGAGGGAGACCGTAAGCATACAGAAGTCTTTAGATTATGGGATGGAGGTGTGTGTGGTAGGAGCGTACGCAAAGAATGCGAAGAAGACAGGCTCACGAATTTTATCAGGAGAGACTTCTATGTGAAGAAAGAATAAGGAATTTGAGGGCTGAAAAACACCAAGGTACCAGAAAGGTCATACTCCGTTAGGAAGAATGTTAAGGGATTCAGGAATGGGAGAGGGTCGCAGTCGAAAGAGACATTAGACTGATTTCTGATTAGTAAGCACAGGACCGTTTTCCAATGATCCAAGACATCCTGCAAAATCAGGAAATTATTCCGACTTTTAATAATGCGACTAATAACCATATTTCCATGGTGCTTGACATATAAGCGGTCATCGGTCGATTTCCGCTTTAGTTATGACGTTAATGACCTCTAGACTGTCACACTGGTTACCTGGAGAAGAAATGCAGTCAAGTCTAAACACAACAGTTTCAAAAGGACATTGCATTCCGAAAATGCATTCAGAAATGCTGTAAGGTAGCTAAAATATGATTCAGAATTCGACAGTGTAGGAAAAGTGCGAATAAAATTAATTATAGAACCCGAAGCAAACGGATGCCCTTTGGGAATGTGTCACAAACCGCAGTTTACCTCATGGTTTCTTTTAACAGTGCACGCTCAGAAGTTGAGTATATATTTGGAGTGCAGGTTGATCTGAGGCGGGACGACGGAGGTCTGTTTTGAACGGACAGACGCCTAGGGGATTGACTAAAATGTGGTCAAGAGAGGTGTTTGCACGAGTCCTGGGGGAAACAAGGTCTTCAATGTCTGACAATATAAGGGGCCATATATTCGTGTGGCAAAATCGCCGCATAAGAAAATAAAGTGCTCACGGGAAGAAAAACGATTTTTTGTGCGGAAACACATTGGCAGGTAAAGAGGAATTGGCTGGGCGTTTGTTAACAGAGGAGTAGCTTTTTAAAGGTAGGAAGTACCATATTCGAAATAACACCAAAATGCCAGTAGGTTTACTTCGTATGGAGACAAATACTCTGCATAGTGGTAGAGGGGCGCTCGCCGGTCGTTCTTACGGGACTCACTCGTTCTGTTGTTCATTACGGGATCTCCCTCGAGCCCAACCAGCAGCCGTACAGTCTCCCTTGTCTTTGCCGGTAATAGCATTCTGCCTATATCCTGCGCCGCTGTGTGGCTGCTGTTTCGGCTCGAGAGAGAGAGCTCGTAAGGCACTCAGGGACGAGTGAGTTCCGTAAGAACGATCGGTCAGCGTCTCTATATCATTGTATATTCTCGATCGAAACCGACAGGACAACGGGTCCGTGACTCAGTGGTTAGAGGCGTGGACTCCCAACTAACGGGTCGCGAGTTCGAGCCTCAGGTGTTCCACACTTCGGGGTTGGGTATGACTGGCTGACGACGGCTAATAAGCCAGAAATGGCCATTCCAGTCTCCCTTGTCTTTGTCGATAATAACGATCTGCATAGTCTCTGCCAGCGAATCGGACTCTGAACTCGTACTAAACGATGAAACTCGAGGAAGTCAGAAAAGAGTTGGGAACTTGAAGCCAGTTACATAAGTTAATAATCTTTTAAGAGTAAAATATTTATCTAAGTTCATGAAACGTTTGCAAAACTGTCTGCTTTTGGAAAAAATAAATGATTACTTGACAGCGACTACAGCATTGACTGCAGTGGGGCATCATTTCACGAGGGACTGTTGTCGTCCTTGAGTTAACATACTTACCAATAGCGTAAGCATATAGCATACGCGAAAAGAGATCCCCTTGGTTGGCTTTTGATAAAATTAATCTAGAAATTTATGACAGGACAACGGACGAGCCTGAAGAAAAAAATATATAACTTTACTCTATGTTGCCATTTAAGATATCGTGAACTGTCTGGACACCATTTACCAGGTAACGCGTTGTGCATGATGTCACTTTCTTACACTGCTGGTGTTTCAATAGACATTTGGTGGACGCATTCTTTAATGAGCATATCCTTTTTAAGCAAAGCAGGGAGGATTACCGGAGAAAAATAAAGAATGTGAGGGAGACTGCAAGCATGCATAAGTATTCAGATTATGGTGTGGAGGTGTGTGTGGTAGGAGCGTACGCAAAGAATGTAAAAAGACAGGCTTACGAAGTTTATCAAGAAAGACTTCTATATGAAGAAGGAATAAAAGATTTTAGGGCTGAGTAACGCCAAGGTACCAGAAAGACCATGCTTCATTTGGAAGACTGTTAAAGGATTCAGAAATGGGAGAGAGTTGCAGTCGATACGGATATTAGACCGATTTCTGACTAGTAAGCGCAAGATCACTTTCCAATGATCCTGTAGAGATATGATCCAAGGCATCCTCCAGTATCTGGAGATTGGTCTGGTTTTTAATTGGGGGACCAATAAACATACTGCTGTGATACTTAACATCTAGGCAGTCATCGGCCGATTTCCACTTTTATTAAGATTTTATTGTCTTTTAAACTGTCACACAGGGTCCGTGGGGAAGAAATTCATTCAAGTCTAAACATAACAGTCTCAAAAGAATATCACACATCAATAGTTTCATTCAAAAATGTTCTAAAGTGGCTAAAATATGACTCAGAATTTAATAGTTTATGAATAATGTGAGTAAGATTGATCATAGGACTCTGAAGAGAACAGATGCCCTGTGTGAACGTAGCACGAACCGTAGTTTCAATGTCTAACTAACGTATGTGCAGAAGCTAGATCGTACGAAAACAGTGCTTCATATGTTCAAAACTAAAATAACTATTCGCTGGTGGTCATTTGTGGGACAAAAAAAGTCATTTTCCAAACGACAAAACAATTTCAGCCCATTTAAACGAAGAATTGCCGATGGGCGTTATT